CGCCGGGATTGACGGCGCAAATTGATCACAATAATTAAAATAGCCTGCGCTTTGTAAAGTGAAAAAAGTCGTAACATGCAACTTTTGTAAAAACAAATGAACATGGCACGGAAGCACCACTGTTATGACGCAGCACCTGAAAAGAAAACACGTTGGAGCCTTCAATGGCAGTGAAGAGAGCTGATCAGCAGGATGAGTAACCATGTTTGTTTCATTTTAAAGAGGGGAAACGTAACGTTAGTTTCTCAGTTCGCTCATCTGATGCTTTCCTTACCTTGTTAGTAGATTTCAGACAGTGATAAGGTTGGCTACTTATTTTACTTTTAATTTCATTTAAATTTGGTTAAGAAGCGTTTATATTTTCTTTATAAATAAATTAACTTGCAAATTATGAGGGCAAGGCTTTTAAAGTTTAAATCTTCTGGCAAAGATAAAGAAAAGAAGATCCTGCAATTTATGGAAGTAAAGCAGAACAAAATCCAGCAAGATCAGTAATATGTCAATTAATTATATGCCACATTCCCATGTAAATATCTGTCTTTGGAGGATGTGTTTTTTTTACCACCCCTAGTTCTCTCATTTTTATTCCAAATACAATTTATAATTAGAATCACAGGGCTATTTTTATCTCTATGGTTCAGTATTTTCTCAAGTAGCAACTTTAACTGCTATACTTTCCTGTCTTAAAAGGCAGAACTCTTCTAGTCTAAAAAAAACTCATTTGTTGAAATGGGGGGACCTATTGTTTGAACCCCTTAGGGGCTTTAAAAAACAAAAATGCCTGTCTCTTTTTGCGCTTTATGAAACAAAGTAGCCTATATTTTGTGGATGTACAGCTACATTTCTCATGTAAGTTTGCGTAGTTTTTACACAAACATTTATTTTTCATATTGCACCAGTACAGTTAATGAGCAACCTGTACTTGTGTGCTTGTTTGTTCTGTCTAAAATGTTTATTTTGGAATAAAGAAGTTAATATAAAATTTTTTTTTTGTCCGATTCATCGATTAATCGAAAAAATAATCGGCCGATTCATCGATTTTTAAAATAATCGTTAGTTGCAGCCCTACTTAGATTGGATCTTCCACAATAGATCCGCCCACCTGAGCTGTAGATCTCTGCAGCTCATCCAGAGTCCCCTGGTTAATGCTGTTTGTTTACTAATGTTCTCCATAGTCATGTAAGGAGTGTAAAACATATTTGATTTATAAAGCAACGTCAGTTTGCACTGGGTTTTACTAAAGGATGTTGGAGAAAAGTGGATTGAGGAAGATTTTCTTTTTGTCGTTTCTCCTTTAAGGAAATGGCTGAAATGATGCACTATTTTCCCTTTACTTGGTAACAGAGCCTTCAGAAAATCCATCAAATCAATCAGCCTGATACAATGAGTTCAACACTAAGTGTTTATTAGCAGGGACTCATTTTATTAGTAGCAAAGTTCAAACCTGAAGTGGGAAAGCTAGTTTCTACAGATCAGTAATGAACGAAAACAGATTTCCATGGAGTCTGAAGGAAACAAACATCTATGTATGATGGAGTCTATAGGATGGAAACCCAGCACAATGAAGGAATATATATGCCCAGATTAAAAGCTGGTTTAAATGGAGCCTCCAACTCCTCAGGGGACGATTAGCTCCGATTACAGGAAGTTCAATGTGCAGAGCCTTTGCTTACTTGCAGTTCCAGTGGGTTCCCATGAAATGAACCCCGACAGGAACAGAGCTGTTCAGGCAGCAGGTCTGTCCACAACATAAGGAAGCAGAACCCCAGCAGGGCGGTAAAAGTTACAGCTAACAGGCTAGCTGGAACTCACCGAGCAAACCTGACAGCAGCGAGCGCATTACGGCAGATTAACCCAGTTAAAAGACACAATTTAGCAACAAAACAAACAATCTGCTTATCAGTCCGAGCTGCATGTAACAATGGAGAGTAAAGCTTTAGTAAAGGAAGCGGAACGTACCGGGCAGGCTGTTAGCCGGGAAGAGGGTCCAGTTTCCTGGTTGAATCACAGGAAGAGCATTCAGTGGGCTTAATGTGGCGGTTAAAGATCCTGGAGAGAAGTTTAGAGGCGACGCGTTTCATTGAAGACGTTTAACTGGGAGTGACAGGAGCGGCTTAAGGCAGCCAGCACTCCAACCAGCAGCCCGACACGCGGCGCGCATGCGCAGAAAGACCTTGGACGGTAAATGATGCGTTCGCTGACAGTTAGAAATGTCAGGAAAATTGAAGCGCCCAGCTTCAGTGGCGGTTCCAGAAAATCTCCATCAGGGTGGCCAGAGAGGCACCAATGTGCATCGAGGGGCTGAAAAGTAAAAGGGGTCAAAAGCCTTTTATGGTTCTTTTGTACTTACAGGAAAATTGAAGAACATTTATATTTTCCAAATGAAATGCAGATAGACCAGCTTTTCACGAGACCCTCGCTAATAAAGCTATACACATATTTATAAACTGATGCTGTTTAGATCCACTCATCGTTCAACATCTACTTATGTGGTTGACCAGTTATTTATCTTTAATTAAATCAAAGACTCCTAAACAGGCATTTCTAAAGTGGGTCCTCGAGGGCCGATGTCCTGCAGCTTTTTGAGGTTTCTCTGCTTTTAGCACAGCTGACTGTGCTGGAGCAGGGAAACCTCTAAAACCTGCTGGACAGCAGCCCTCAAGGACCCACTTTAGGGATGCCTGCTCCTAAATAACTTCAGAGACAAACTCACACTTATAAAACCTAAAAACTAAGTTGTAAAAAGAGTATTCTGTATGAGTAGCATATTTTCCCTAATTGTTGTATTTTTGTCAGTTTTTGGTTAATTAACTAACTATAATATCAAAGTAGAACATTTCACTTGATGCAATCAGTACTGCCCCCCTCTGGTTTATAGAAGAACTGCTGTTACAGAGACGCCAAATTAGACCTCTGCCAACTTTATTTATTGTAATGAAAAGTCCTATTTATCTACATACCTACATCATAAAAACATTGCCTCGGCTTGACTCTATGATTATAACTACATGCATTCTATACTGTTTGTAAAAAATGAATGTCAGTAATTAGACTTGAACACAAGATTAGGCAAATCTACTGAATAGGACACTTTTCTCAAACAATGTATGCCAAAGAGGGCGAACATGAAAAAAGGATAATTCTATAGGTACCAATGACTCATATTTAAGTTTCTAACAAAAAAAAATTGTCATTTCATAAACCTCAGAAAACAGAAATCAAAAGTAAACAAAGACTGAAAGACAGAAAGCATTTGGTACAACTGTGGCCGTCCACAAAGAGAGCATTAACTAGAGAAGTCATTATAAGGTCCATAGGGGAAGAAATCCACAGCTCTAACAGGAGAATCCATCAACAACATCTGGCCTTTATGGAAGAATTGGAAGAATGAAAGCACTAATAAAATAATTCAAAGGAAGTCTGAAAAACATGTAAATAAAAGTAAACATGTGAGGGTGTTGTGGTGTCACGTGAATGTTTGGCGACTACCATATGCAAGATGGAAAAAGGAAAAACTCTGCATTAACATGGTAAAACATAGTGGCAGCATTATGCTGTGGGAATCCAGGGGCAGGGAATCTGTTCAAAGTTTAGAGGAAGGAAGAGGATGCTAAACACTAGTGCCGAGTTCAAATTCAACAGCTGCATCCTCAGAGAGCGAGATTCATCGGCTGTTTAGGGCAGAGAATTGGAACAGGACAAATGTAGCCTTCTTTTTTCCCCATTTTGAATGACAGGTCCAGTGTAACCTCCATTGCCTTGGGTATCCCATGAATCATTGCGGGTCCAAGCAAGCCTGCTGCTCCGTGCTTAGAGGAAAAAAGGAAATTGCACCTGAGAGTGGTGAATATTGTAAATGCAGTATAATATAATCCAAGTATGTGAATAGTTCCATCTAAAATTAATGAAAATTGTTGTTTTAAATGGTTATTGAGTCAGATATGTGGCAAGTAATGTTAGAAAGCTTTTATCTGTCCCTGTGCAAATGGGTTTGGCTGACATTTAAGCTCAGATTAAAATATGTCTGCCGTGCGGGGGACCATAAATATATTTGTGACGAGGTTACTGGTGCTGAAGCTCCTCGAAAATGTAATTAGCACACAGAGCAGTAGTGAGAAGTTCAGCATCTATTCTTTGCCTGCTTTGTGCTTCAAGTGTCACGGTTGCTAGGTGACAGAGCATACAGGCGATGTAAGCTGGAGAAGGCTGGACCTGTTTGAATCTAAAGTCAAAACTCTTTCAGCCTCCTTATTTTTACAGACCTCCAAGGACCCAGTCCAGGTAGACCGGGTCCTTGGAGGATGCTGCCTCTGAAAAACAAACCCAGGTTCTTTTTTTTTTTTCTCGTTTGGGTAGGGGTCTGCATGGGCCCCCGTTTTAAAAACACCTAAACAAAAAAAACTTATTTCAGCTTTCTAATTCCTGATCCTCCACGGACGGGTTGGTCGTTGGATTGCCAACTTGAAGAGGGAGGATTTGCCATCGAACTTCTGGCCAGAGAAAAAACACGTAATATGTAGCCAACATTTGGAAGAAGAATGTTTTCAAGATGACTTGGATAATAGCGCGTTGTGACAAACACCAGATACAGCACTGGGACTTGATCAACAGCCGATACCACAACGTGACGTCACAAACCAGTAGATGGCAGTAGTGTTCTTTGACAAACATGGATGCCTCCAGTAAAGCACATTCACATGACATTACACTAAATAATAAACACTTTTTTATTGAACAGTATGTAATAATTTCATATTTAAAATACTTTCAGAAGTTTGTATTCTGAATATGAGCGGACTTTTCCTTTAAGCTGCCTGAGCACCTCCTGTCAAACCAACATGTTGGTTCTTGTCATGTATCTGGATTCTGTGAAGGCAGGTGTGGCAAACAAACAAAGGAGAGACATTTCTGACAGCTTGTGTAATGAAAAGCATCTCCTTTTAAGGTTCTTCGAACAGCCACCTTACAGCTCCGGCTTACATAGAAAACTCACCACCTGCTTACCCTTTTGATTTATTTATTAGTATTTTAGAATAAACATTTTTTTTTACAAAAGTGAGAAAAATATTTTAAAAAGCATCAACAGAATCATGTTTTACAAAGTCGCAACATTAATAAAAATGTTTAAAAAAGCATGAAATATATGCTGTGTTTGGCCACGTGCTTCTCTGGACGTCTGACTGCAAACTGAAGTATTTTTGAATAACAGGCTAACCAAGTTCAAGTTAAAAACTGCTTGCAATGCTCCCCTCAGCCTTGGAAGTTGGCTCCAGAGACTCACATGGCTTTTCATTAACACAGCCGCATCTCAATAAATCAGAAAGGCCTTGAAAACTACATTCATTTCAGTACTGAAACTAAGACTCATCATGAGAATATATGTGAAAATTATTATTATTATACATGTAACAACAAAGCATCAATAATGGGCCAGCAGTGGAAAAACAGGGAGAATGGAGCATAGAAATCCTACTATGGATGCCATTTAATCTAATTTACAGCCTTTTCTACTACGTATGTTTTATATCAGAAATCCACCTCTCAGCATCTGCCAGCACCAAATCCAAGCTGCCCGAGACCCGCTTTGAGCACGTCTTGGCTTCCACCAGTTACCAGTTTTATGGAGATGCAGTAATTCATGCAAAAAGACCCCAAACCATTGAGTGTACCAAGTATAGAGCGCATGGGGACAGTTTTCATCAGAATATTTTTGTGCTAAAATCCTTTTTCATTAAAACTCTCAGATAAACAGAAACATTGTTTTTTTTAATCTTTTTTTTTTTGGACAAAAGCCCCAAATATCTAAATATGTTTAAAATGTGTCAGAAATCTATTAATTATATCAGCCTGATGCTCTTCACTGAATGAAATGAACCTTTGGGTGATATTTTAATTCACTGAAATGCAGCTGTGCTCATGCCCTTTCTGGGTTTTTGAACCATTTTGTCCATCAGGTCTCGATAGAAGACATAGGATCATGTTCAGGGAGAATGGAGGAGCTGAAGCTGACCCGGATATCCCGGGGGTAGAAGCCCTGGAGAACTCCATCCACTACAATATCTGGGAGACCTGCAAGACAGACACTATTGTTTGCTTCATCTTAAAAGAATTTGCTGCTTTGTAATCCATTCCGTTTCTATGCTATATAAATTGTGAAACTCAGTTTTTCGCTCCGCTGGATTGTTGGACAAGTGTGCAGTTCTTTGATACCTGAGGAGCTGCAGGAGTGATAAGGATCTTGGAAGAACCCCAAAACCCGCTGATGTGGTAGCTGGTTGCTGTGGAAACAAAGATAAACATGCCTTCATCTTTTCCATCAGAACCAGAGTGAGAAAAGGGTGTGTTTTTACATCTAAAATATAAACAAGCATAGAGCTGTAACTACCAAGTTAATACCTTTAACCATTGTGATTCCCAACCGGGGGTACTAGTACCCCTAGTGGTCTGTGATTGCATTGCAAGTGGTTTACAAAAATATTTTATTTCTCAGGGAGTAAAATAGGACTGGGATCTGTTCTGCTTTGTGAGGACCCAATTGAAAAATTAAACAAGCTTTTATCAACCAAAAATCAAGTTTTTCTTTGAGTTCACCTTCAGCTTTGACACTCATAGAAACCAAGCAGAGGAACCGACTGGATGCAAAGAGAGAGATGGGTGGTTCTAGACGGGGGGCCAACAGAGACCAATGCCCCTGTTCAACTGCTTCTGGCCCCTGTTAAGATGACATAATACTAAATTCCTTTATAACGACATGTGCTGACACAGAAACCATAACTGATGGCTACATTTAGGGTTTTATTTTATCAAGATTTGTAAGTTAAGTTTTACACGTTTAGCATTAGCTAAATTGAGATAAAGTTCTCATCTGGACCAGAGCTGTTCCATCTGCAGCTTAAGAGAAGCAAGTTGCTCTTTGACTATGTGATTTACTTCTGTTTTTTTGTCTTTTCTTCTGTTCTGTGAGAAAAGAACCCAGCCCACCATATGTCCAGCCATCTTGTAATGGCTGGACATATGGGGCGGATTTAGGAAATTCAGAGGGCCCTAGGCAAAAACAGGCAGGAGGCCCTCTGAATCCAGAAGAAAAAACATAAAATAGAAAACTGTTCTAGGTTTTGTCCCTCTCTTCTTGTTCCTTTTCTTCTTGTTTTCCTCTCTATGTTTTGTACTCAGCTGACTTTTCATGCTGTCTCTAAAGGAATAAAAGATTTTTTCCAAGCACTAAGCTCACTTAGCTGATTGCTCCTTCCTGTGTTTCCAAAAAGGCCAAAGTAAATAACCCAGTCCTTCTTTTCACTGTAGACAAGCCATGATCTGCTTCTCTGTTCTCCATTTTTCATTTGGATGAAATAATAGCTGCATGAATCATGACAGCAGACAAGATAGAGGAGAGCAGGAGGCGGAGTTACCAATCTACTTGCTCTGGAGAGCAGAGTTTGCTGCTTTTAGATGTTGTCTCCAAAGTCTCCAGTAGCAGAAAAAAGTCGCTAGATTTGATGCAAGGTGCTTTTTTGAAATAAAAGTACTAGAGGGGTCTGAAGTTTTTAAATATAGTGACAAATGTGCTAAATTGGCAGCTGAGACAGACTTAATATTATAAGCATTCTGATGGCATTTTAGCTAAAGGGTTTATATCAAAAACAAGTTAATGTGCACAAATAAGGAATAGTTGTATTAATTTTACATGTAAACAGAGTTTTATGGGCCCCCAGGAACTTGGGGCCCGAGGCAACTGCCTAGTATTGCCTAATGGTAAATCTCCCCCTGCTTATAAATATGATCTAGAACCATCACTACTTTAAAAAAAATTAAATAAACAGGAACATAAACAGGCCTCTGTGGTGTAAGTTTTATTGAGGAGGATATGCCGCCAATATTTTAGGGTTTCAAACCATGTATTTGTTTCATGTTCTTGGGCACAGTTAAAACAAGGTAATTTATGTTTTTCAAATTAAGGAAACAATGGAAGCTGCTGCTAAGTGACTGTCCTGCTTAATGTATGACCTGCTTCCCTCCAGGATTGGAGGTACATTATTTCTCCTATAGAGAGTAAGCATTTAGAAAAAAAATCATTGATGTATGGATGTGGTTGCAGAACCCAAGGTTTTTGTCACAAACAGAGCTTGGATTCCTTAAATTACATCTTTGTGTAATCGCACATTTGCACACAACTTTACATAATTTTACATAAGTGATCAGGTAAAGTAAGCGAAAGAATAAATTTGTGTAATTACAGCTGAAAATGAGGAGAGGTGATGCCAACGCAGAGTATCAACTTCAGCATTTTACTCCAATAAAAGTGTAAAATATCCACTTTTAAAACTAAAGTTTTAAAGTATAAAAATAAAATTAAAGCAGAAAAAATGTTGAGGACAGAAGCTTGCACTACCCTATTAAAGGAAGATTTTTCAACAATTCTGGATGATAACTTCCTTTTCCTTCCTTTTCTTAGTTTTATAACTAATGGTAACAGTGTCAGATTTTACTTTGCATCATCTTGAAAAACTATTTATTTTGGCATGTGGAGAACAACAAGTGGATGCAGCAGCGAGTCCAAACCCAACTAAATAAATTTTCAGGACAAAGCTAATTATTTTTGATGATTTTCATTTATTTTTTAAAATACCAATAGGCCATAACGAAAATTAGCTAAAATGAAACGAAACAAAACAATGTAAGGAGTAGAAGTAAAAAGTTGTCTAAAAAGAATGACTGCAGTAAAGTATAGATAACCAACACTTCTACTTAGTACTTGACACCGCTGCAATCTGAGATTAATGCTTTATAGATCTGGTTTTGCATTCTAGAGCATTTATCTGGGTCAAGGGGCAGAAACATCCCCTCAGCTGATTGAGGCTACAGAATGAGCACCTTTAGACGATGGGGGGTACCTCTTAGCTAAGAGAGGTAGCAGCATTAAAGCAAGAGGGACCTTTTCATTTAACTTTTTCCTCCCTTTATATAATTTCCCTTCTTTTCTCTTTAACTTTTTAAACTAGAGTGCAGATAAAAGCTATGAAAACGACCCCCAGAATCACCAAGAACGACTAAATAAGACAAGAAGCAAGTCTTACTTGTATTCCTGACTGTCCAGTTCATCCAGCGATCTAAAAATAGAGTTTTCAATCATTAGATGCTTCATGTACAATCTGAAGGTCAGATAGACAGAACCATTTCAATCAGCTTTAAATTAGAAACAGCTTGTTTTTCACAAACAGGGCAACTAGGCTGCTGCTCCACACCACTGAGAGGAATGTTTCTCAAGTTTTATCATGTTGCTGCATTGCCCCCAATCTGAAAATAGAGGCACCAAATATAGCAGCATGTGCAGCATCGCCCGCTGCCCCCAGAGGAGACCAGACTGCTGGACTTACTCAAAGCTGCTGATCTTGTTCCCCGTGTGGAAGTGTTTCACATGGAGGAAGTCCAGCAGCACCTGTGGCACATCTTCATTTTGATAGATGACCTCCTGATGGAGAGAAAGAGAGAGAATCAAGGGGTGAAAGTCTAATGAATGGAATCACAGAACAATAATAGTGATAATAGTGCAGCACTGCTCCTGTGTCCAACCTGGATGTAATCTTCCAGCTCCTGCCGCCTCTGCTCCAGAGGTTTGGTCCTCAGATGGGGGCTCCTTTTGCTCGGAAAATCTGGGGTCTGGATGATCTTCTTAAGCTGCCACCGCCATAAAACCCAGCAAACGTGTCAGGACATTTTATTATGCCAGAAGCAACATTTTACAGCTCTGCAGCCTTATTAAAAGCTAATGAATGCAGACTCAAAGTACAAAACCAGTAAACATATTATTTATAATTTTAAGCTTTTAATAGAAATGTGAAGAGAAAATAGAAAAACAATAACTAACGGATAATTTTAAAATAACAATAAACAACATTCTGTATCTATCAAACCTTCCAAAATAATCCATCCTAGAGGATTTCTGACTATTTTGAAATTATGTGCACAAAGTTCTGAGCTTTAAGGCAATATGAAACTAAACCTAAAATAAGAATATTTAAGAAACTAAAAGTGAGTTTCGGACTTTATTAGGTGAATTTTAATGTGCAGAATTATTACGTAACAAAATAAAAACAATACACCAATTCTCACCAATGTTTTGTTCAAATTTCAAGTAAGTATTAAACAAAATATAAAAAAAAGACAACATGTCAGATATTTATACAAATGAAAAAATTAACTCTGACCAGTAGAGCTGCCCTTCATTCTTTTATTAGTCACATAATGACCCTAGAAGCTGTAATATTGGCCTTCAGTTTATAAGGCTTCAGTTTTTGCATCTGATAATCAAATTCGAATGAAACACAATCCAGAAATGAAACTTATAAAAAGATTTAATCAAAGAAAGGTTTTGAGAATAACTTTACTGCTTTGTCAATGATATACATTTTTTTATTTTGCATTTAATTTTTCAAATGGAGTTTTTTGAAAACCGATTGTCATATGTAATTTTTTTCGAATGAGACTTTTTTTTTTTTTTTTTTTTTTACTTTTTACTTATTCTATTTCCATCCAACCAAAATGTAACTTTTAAAAGTAAACAAGTTCAACATTAAAGACACAGAATTCACACCAGAGAGATTTTAAAACTTTGGCTGAAGTCCAGCATCTAGTGTGGCTACAGAGCCGATTCAGGCCACAGCAGGTGATCTCTTTTTGTTTTTTCAAGGCAATCATTTAATTTATTATTTATATTTTCATGCTTTTATGGAACCAAAGACAGATTTTTTTTTCCTCACTGGAGATAAAGAGTTACACATATTTATGAGGTTGATGCATATTCTTTTTTCAACTTGTCAGACTCAATAATATTTAAAATGAATAGAAAGAAAAATTTAGACAGTTTAGTTATCATAAAAAAAAAAAACAATAAAATGAGGTGGAGTAAAATTAGAAAATAGAAATATAGAGAATGTTTGACTTTCTATGCCAAGTTTATACCGCTCAGCAATGGGAACATTTACATGGAAAAAAAAAAAAAGCCAAGCTCAAACCATCAGCCTCGCACTGCTGTGCTTGACAGTTGTTAGGAAGGTTATATGTCAACGTTCCTTTTCATTATCCAGAATCTAAAGAGTAAACGCGAGTAAGGTTGGAGTGCAGGAGAAAGTAAGTGTGATGCAGATACGCACCTTCCTGTGAAGGGTCTGGAATTCACTGTTTCTTCTGAGCACATAATGTTTCCTCTCATTAAACAAGACTTCAACTCTGAAAAGCTGAAAAAACAAAACAAAATAACATGAAAAAAAAATCTAATAAGACATCTTTGCATTCTTTAAGCTAAATTAGTTACCTTAGGTCAGAGAAGACACGTAAAACATTTATAGGAGTGATCAACATGAAAAATAAATAATCAGTTACCGGTATTTGTTCTAGTGCAGAGGCAATGAACTCTTCTGTCCAGCAGGTGGGGGTAAAGAGCTTTCCATTTATTTAAATTAACTATCCATTCCCTTTCAAACTTGGAAGCCAAGTCCCTTGGATTGTTTTTTAAACTTTTTTTTTTGGAATGACTATTGACGTGGATGATTGAGAATCTTGGCCAGCATATCCTTCCCTTTCAGTAGTAATCAGTCACGTTTTATAAATTAATCTAAATGTGATTTGCTGTCATTTCAACAGGTTTGGTAGAAGACTTTAGCAGGTTTTAGAAAAGAAGAACAAAAAAAAAAAAGGTGGGGGGGATAGATTTTGGCTTTTGGCTTCCACATTAAGCAAGGAGCTCAAGTCCAGCACTTCAGGTCGGGTCAAATTCCTTGAACTGCTTCAACCATGCGGCTCTGACCATAACACAGTGGCTAAAACGTCTTTCAGTGCTGGAAGACCAAACTTGCTCCTTGTTGTCATTTCTAAAGAGAAGTTTGGTTCTGCTTCAGCTGAAGCACAAAGTGTGTTGTCAAGCAAACGTCTAGCTTGAAAGACATCAACCTTTGAAGCATGACTGCTGTTTCAGAGAGAGGGTATTTATCCTCACAGAAGTACAGCATAGCAGGGATGTTAGGCTAATCTATAGCAGTGCAGCAGATTGGTATTGGACAGAAAAGTGTTTTGGGGGGGTTCTTCAGCAGCCATGTTTTTAATCTGACCATCCAAGCATGTTTTATTACTACAGTTTGAAAGCACTTACTATCAATTCAATTTGTTCTATGAGGTTTCACAAAGAGTTTACATAGGGCTACAGGGAAATTGCCAAGGAGCTTAGTGAAAAAAGTTCCACTGCTGGATCAATCCTTTGAAAATGGAAGAAGATAAACATGACTGCCAATCTCCCTCAGACTGGGGCTTCATGCATCTCACCTCATGCGGTCTCAATGATCCTCGGAAAGGTGAGAAATCAGCCCAGAACTACACGGGAGGAGCTGGTCCATGACCTGAAAAGAGCTGGGACCCCCGTTTCCAAGGTTACTGTTGGTAATACACCAAGACCTCCTGGTTTGAAATCATGCATGGCATGGAAGGGTACCCTGCTTAAACTAGCACATGTCAAGGTCCATCTTAAGTTTGCCAATGGCCATTTAGATAATCCAGGGGAGTCATGGGAGGTAATGTGGTCAGATGAAACCAAATTATAACTTTTTGGTCATAATCCCACTAACCATCTTTGGAGGAAGAAGAATGATGAGTACCATCCCAATAACACCATCCCTACTGTGAAGCATGGGGGAGCTAGCATCAATCCTTGGGGGTTGTGTTTTTCTGAAATCCTCTCAGTTAGAGCATTGAAGGCGGGTTGAGGCTGGGTCTTCCAACATGACAAAGACCCAAAGCTCACACCTAGGATAACCAAGGAGTGGCTCTGGAAGAAGCATATCGATGTTCTGGAGTGGTCTAGCTAGTCTCCAGACCTAAACCCAATAGATAATCTTTGGAGGGAGCTCAAACTATGTGTTTCTTAGTGACAGCCCAGAAACCTGACTGATCTAGAAAAGATCTGTGTGATGGAGGGGGCCACAATCCCTCCTGCTGTGTGTGCAAACCTGGTTAAAGACTACAGGAAATATTTGACCTGTAACTGCAAAGGCTAGTGTACCAAGTATTAACACTGATTTTCTCAGGTGTTCAAATACTTATTTGCAGCTGTATCATATAAATAAATAGTTTCCAGATTCACAATTTCAGACCCCCCAGGATTGCCAGATGGGAGAATTTGCAAAATAGCAGAGTTTTCAAATACTTCCTCACCGAAAATTAAGATAAATCCACCATGTTTCTCCTGCACTCCTGTGGGGGAGTTGGTCACATAGTGGTTAAGCTCCACTCCGGGTCCCCAAGCAAGACCCCACACTGCTCCCCAGGTGTCGCACAATGTCAGCCCAGTGCTCCCCAAGGGGAGGGGTTAAATGCAGAGTTAATTTTGTTGCTCTGTACTTGTTACAGTTTAATGACAAGAAATGCTGAATAAAAACGACCCATACTCCACCATTATGTGCAGGAGATCACCAAATAAACACTTTTAACCATCTTATTGCTAAAAGTGTCTATTTTAGCTGCTTCAATTATTCTGCTTCAATGTCTGAGGAATTGCTGTGAATTTTTCTGAGCAACAACCCCTCCTAATCCTAAACACAAAAAACCCTCCAAGAAGCTATAGCCATCCCATACAGAACATTGTTAACCCATCACTTCCAGAAAGCACCTACCCTGACCCTGCAGCCTGAAACATGTCATCAACTTTCTCTGATCAGCAAGCAGTGATGTGAGGCAGGCGCAGACCACTGCACAAAGCTGGAAAATTCACTTTTTTTGTCTTCATCAGTCAAACATCATGAATGAGCTCTTCACAGCTATGAAGGATCTGGTTGAACTGGTACTGACCATGAGAACAAAGCTGAAACACCATTCACACCAAACAGGTTCATGAACTATTGTTTCTGGGCAGATTATACAGGCGGTTCCCAAACCTTCCCGTTTCTGACCTACAAAACTTAGTGACCCTCATCCTGCTTGTAAATGATTTAACAGAACTATAATCTGAGCAAATACACCACTACCATTGTTTTCTTTTACAACTACCACCGAATATCTTTTATATCAATGTGTTGGTTATTCTTATCTTCTTTAATTTAATAGGAAGAGCTCCAGACCCCTTTTTTCTGTTTCCTAAAGGACCCCGAGCTTTAGGAAGTTTATTCACCTAAACTACATGCAGGCTTATAAAGACATACAGGAGCAGCCATTCAAAATGAGCCTTCCCAGTCAAACACCAGCTGAGACTTGTCTCTGACTTTTTTACTGATTTCCTTCCTTTCACTGGATTACAGGGTCTGACTAGGAGATGAAGCTTTTCTTTAGATCTTAATGTCCACAAATCATGACAGAAAGAATATTTTATTACAAAGATTGATGTTTAAAAGGGAATTTAAGGAATCAAGGAAAGTAGGGATGGCTACTACTGTAAAACCATCTAAAAGCCCCCCAGCAGACCTTTTAACAGAACAGAGTTAAAGTTAAGTTTTATCAGCTTTATTTGCTCACAAACAGTGAATTTAACGCCTGTTTCACTTTTTTTTTAAGTTGAGGAAATAAAAACTTTATTTTATCATTAATGTTTCTTGCTTTATCTTGACTTCATTTAACTCTCTTTACATCTAGGAAACTTCCTCTATGTATTTCAGCTCTAAGGTGAGTTTAACTGTGAACCGGTGTGAGGTTGCGCTCCTTCCAGCTGCTCCGGGCTGATTTCACTCAGGTAGGACTCACCTGGGCTCCACCTTCAGTCCTCAGAACAAACAAACCGTCACACCCAGAGTAAACACACGTTTGTTTGGAGGCGTTTTAAAACTTTCCCAAAAACATTTTAAAAAGGAGTAAAACCGATTTTCAGAGAGCGGTTTGGGTCGCTCACCTTTTTCGACTTCCCAGATTCCTCCACTTCCTTCTCCAGAGACGGGATCGACACCTGAATCATGTGGAAAGGCTCCCGCTGCACCATCAGTTCTTCTTTTCCGCCGCTACAGCCCCGCAACCTTCCCCTGGTGTTCGGACTGTTTTCTTTTCCGGTAGCTTTGCTCCCGTGTGCTCCACCTACACACTAATTGGACAAACCCAGCGGGATATTAAAGGTGCAGTCCGGCCTTTTTGACGCACAGCTTTGGTTGGAGATAATGAAGCAGCAGGACGTTTGTTTGGTCAGCCTTTATGAGGGGTTTGTTATTCCCAGCCAATGATTTTTTTTATTTACTACTACGAGATTTGCATACCAAAGAACCGCTTCACCTGTTTATGCATTTAACTCTGCAGTGGCGGTCCTAGATCATATTTACTAGGTTGTGGTGTTTTTATGAGGGCACAGAAAAGCAGGAAATAAAAAAACAGGGCAATTACCATTCTAAAATATATTATAGAGTGTATATTTGGTTTGAAAATTTTATTTAAATAAAAATCCTTCACCATGAAAAAAAGCCCAAATGAAATAAGTTGCGAAATAAATTTTTTGTAAAAGATGAAATATATTTATTCATTTTGTTTTTTTATACAGTACCAATTCACAACACATGTCATCTCAAGGCACTTTACAGTTCAACCAGATCATCCAGTCAGATTGATTCAAAGTTTTCTATCTGAGGAAACCAGTTGATTGCATCACCTCATAGGCTGCTGGAGGTTTCTTCCTGTTAAAAGGGAGTTTTTCCTCTCCACTGTCGCTACAAGCATGCTTTATGTGAGGGATTGCGTTTGAGTCAATGAGTCAATCCAATCAATTGGTTTCCTTAGATAGAAGAATTAGAATCAATTTAACTGCATGATCTGTTGAATTGTAAAGTGCCTTGAGATGTTTTGTTGTGAATTAGCGCTATGGAAATCAAAATCAAACTGCTGTAACACAGACTCCAAAATTTTTCAGAAGATTTAGAGGCTGACGGGAGGTGGGAGCCCTCAAAAGGAGTGCTGTCCTGATGTTTGGCTGTAACAAAGCAAACCCCCTTTCTGTGAGCCTGCCTAGTTGATAACTGTTGGAAGAAACTCAAACTTTCCAAAACAGACATTGGCGGAGGTACAAGGTCTGGCACAGTAAGGGACAGAGAGGCCAGTTAAACAATATGTATTTTGATCATTTTGATAATTTCATGTTCTGTAATGTGTTGGCCTAGTGGTTAGGGCAACGCTCTTGTGCTCTAAGAATTGTGTGTTTACAGGTGAATAAACACAAAGCTAACGCGATGGATTACATTGTGCTACGCATAGTAATATGTTAAGCTGTTAATATAAAGCTCAGACAAGCTTTATTTAACTAAGGGTTTAAACATTGATATAACATTAACATTCATGCGTTTTCTCATATGCTCATTACTTTTCCATTACTAACTTATGACCAAAAATCATTTAATTGAATCCTCATGTCTGCTAGTCTCTAGCTCACTCAAATAGGGTAAAGAATCATTAAATTAATGGTTATTGGTTCCTGATTATGCAAATATCTTCAATCTAAAAAACCGACAGAAAGAAAATACAATTAGAAGAATTTTATTGATACAAATACCTTACATATTTTGGCGCTCAGACCTCAGCAGGAAACATTGCACTGAATTTTGTTTGATATGCATGAACAGGAGTAAAGAAGGGCTGTTTCCCCCCAGGCATGAAACTGGTGGTGGAGTGGAGATGGAGAAAGAGATAGAGATAGATGAAGTTGGTCAGTCTGTAGACTGCTGTATGGGGAGATCCAGTGGGCTGTGTGAGCTGTTACTATTGCTTCACTCAGGGACCTGGAAGATGGGAGTCCAGCTTGATAACACAGGTTGAGAGAACCTGTCCACGATTGCCAAGCATGAAGCGACAGTGGAGAGGAAAACATCCCTTTTGGGAAGAAACCTCTGGCAGAACCAGGCCCAACATGGCGGTCTTCTGCCGGACCAGTTGCAATAAGACACGGAACGCAGCAAGAGTCTGGGAAGAAAGAAACTCTGATGAAGCTTTAGCTGGGTTGCAATGGGGTCATCTGAATTGAAGTCAGACACAGCGCAGCCACTGCCTACGCGGTGGGTAGCAGACAGAGTTGTGGATTGGAGACCTTTTAATATGAACTCTGATTGGGCTTTAGTGGAGACGAAAAGCTCATTAGCTTGTGTTGGAGGTGGATGAAGGTAAGTAATCAGTTTATTCAGTTGAACTTCCGCCAAGGCTACATTTCATAAAACATTTTTTGGCCAATTAATGTTTTATTCACCTCTCGGATTTGCATTGTAAATTAGTTTGAAAGCAATCCAATTGCTTTAAATTAGTGTAGAGCTAATTCGATCACATCCCAAATTCTTCAAGATAAAATCGTGTTCTCAAGCACAAAATCTAGTTAAACTGTGATATAATTACATTATCTCAATGAATGTGGGTTTCAACCATTCTTCTTCTTTGTACTTAGTTGCTCAGTTTGGTTGAGATTCACTAGTTTTTAGTCAAGAGTTTTTAACTGAATATGTTTGACTTGGAGCTGAATGATTTTTGTTAATAAACTCTTATATTTGGAATAGAAGTTGTGGTGAATTTATTCCATATAAATACATGCATTGAATACAACCGTTATTCAACAGATTACGGCACCCCTACTGGGGTGGACAATAAATAATTATAGTTGCACAACAGCTGTAAAAAAACAACAAAAAAGTAGCTTGTTTAGTTTTTTAAAAAGTTACTCAAGTGAATGTAATGGAGTAAATATAATTAGTTACTACCAACCTTTGTTTCTGATGGAATAATCCTGAATTTATTTCCTAATGGAAATGGGAATAAACTGTGCATTGCTGGGTGCTGCTGCCATAGTTGGCTCTACTTTTGAGTGGATCGAATGGATGGAATGATAGATTTTAATTTTCTAAGCACCGTAGGAGTAATCACAAGGCTATAGTTAAGTCAGAGAAAAAAAAAGGTTGGTGAGAAAGTGTTCCCCAGTGAAAACATGGGATACCCGTCATTAATTTGTGTCTGTAGGTCTGACAGTTCCCCACAATCCTCAGCTTGACAGAACATGTAAGCAGAGCCTACCTCTCAGAGCTGAACATAAATATGCCATTTCTTTATGTGTACTCTGTGTAACACATGCTAATGTTCAACCTTTGTATGTTTTGGGTTTACAATAAAGCTTCAGTAGGTTTTTCTGGAAGGCTTTAGTTTCAATTTATTCAGCATCATTAATCATTCAAGCCACAGATTTAGATTAGTTTGCCTCTATTAAGCAACCATCTGGCTAATCCTAAGGGCTTTTACATGATAGGTTTGGAAAAAAAAATTTCAATTATAAACAAATTTGAGCCTGAAAGCACATAATTACAAACAGTTTATAGTAATCTGCCTCTATTTCTCCTTTAATGTATTCTTACGTATCTGCAGACATTGTTAACAATCAAAATAGTATTTTACATCACTTCTTACTGTTGTTTTTAAAAAGTTTTTATTTTTATTTTTGTAATTTTAGGTTTACTTTAAATCTCTGTACAAATGGATGTGAGAAATAAAAAGGGTTTAGCTTGCGAGCCACTGCACTGTGTTCTCTACTGACTTCCACTAAACAGCCAAGGCCAGTAGGTTTTCAGAAATCTCCCAAAACATAACTTGCAACTCTCAAATCCAGCTTCACTTCCTGCTGCAACTCAAACACAAAGTAAAACCAAAAGGAACTGGTTGTGAAAAAGGGATGTAAGCACTGGTCACATAACCACAGAATTCTCCTCACATCCCTTAAAGATTCCAGCCTACGGGCTGCTGCACGGATTTCCTCAGTGAGAAAAAATGTTGCATTCCTACAAATAATGTTTCCCCTACAAAATGCTCGACTGAACAATGCTCAGCCTTCTTTCCGGCACTGCGGGATCATTTTTCATGGCTTTATCTTAAAAAAAGAATCACATGCTCTGCCTGTGACTGTCATCATGGGATTTATATCTTCCCATCCTGCACGTTGCTCACATTGTTTTCTTTTTTTGACTCAAGCATTAACAGAAAATAACTAATAAGTATCAGCTATTTGATAGATCCTTTACCGAGGTCTGATAACTGCCTGTCGAGCAGAAAAATATCAAATAAACAAAACTTTTTGACCACATTGAGGAGACAGAAAAGACCTTACAGAGCCACAAACTGCCATGAGCATTTGAGAGCAAACAGGAAACAAAGTTTTTGATGTCAAAAAATCTGGAAAAGATTACAAAAGTGGCTTAAAGATGTGGACTTATTTGATACATCCAAATGTCTAATGATCATTATGTGTACATACAAATCTCACATGGGGGGCACAGAATATAAAGAAATGGAAAAAAAAGACAGTATTTCATCATTAAAGTTCATAGCTTCAACTTTTTCTTTTAAACTATACATTTGGAAAAGAAATACAACGACCAAACGTATACACAGGTGCAGAATAATAGTATTAAGTTTAATGACAAAGAAAATACAGTAAGTGTAAAGTGTTTTATAAATTGTGACCAAAATATATAATTATTTACTTCTGGTTATGATGTCAACATCTACACCTATGGAATTTGCTTCAACAAAATAGCAAGCAAAAGAATAGTTAGCTAAAGCTAAAGTGGAGACAAAGCTTAGGCGTTTCCAGATCCTAGTTGCTCTGTGATAGAGCTGAGAAATTACTTCTTCTGAATGTTACATTTCTCAGTCGAGCCAAAAAACAAAACAAAAAAATAGATCTGATATATTCATCATTCAAGTTTTCAACTTGTATGTTAGATCCAGTTCCATTCCACTTATTTAAGGAAATATTCCCTCCGGTGTCCTCCACCATTTTAGATATGATTCATTTATCCCTGTTAAAGGGATATATACCTCAGGCCGTTAAGCTAGCTGTAATTTAACCTTTACTTAAGATATCGTCTCTAGACCCAGATGACTTTCTCGATTATAGACTTATGTCTAATATCCTTTTTTAATCTATATTTCTTGAGAAAATAGTTGCAAAAGACAAACGTGTGATTACTTACACCATAATAAGCTTTTTCAAGAGTCATCAGGTTTTAGAGCTCATCATAGCACTGAAATAGCACTGGTGAAAGTCA